TAATCAACTCATCTAATGTTTCATTGCCACTAGTCCATCCTTCAGTTAATAACTTTGGATCACATGATTGACACCATAATCAGTATTATATCTTTTGCATGTTGGACATTCCCCATACTTTTCACCTCTTTTCTTTAAATATTGATCATTTTTTTCAGTAGAAGTATCGTCATGATGTTTGTTATCATCCAAAATGGTTTCCATTGTGGTTTTTGTATATTTGTAAAAAAAAATTTTTTTTAAAGAACTTTTTTTTTTCAGTCATAATATGTATGTATCACAAAATATATTAATATGAACTACAACAAATTCAGCATTGACATCCTAAAGTTGTAAAGCTATAATAAATATTGCAAGTGTGTGATCTGGGTTATTGGAATCACCAAATCTGGTGAAACTAAATTAAAATCACTCACTACATACAACTATACGGGTTCCTATTCGAATAAGGTTTATTCAAGTTATTGTTTTACTTGAATATTCGAATTACATTGAAAGTTCTTTCGAATAAAATGAAATAACGAATAATTCGATTAAAACAAGTAATTTTGAATAAAATGAATAATAATTCAATTAAAACGACTAATAAACAAATAATTCAAATAATTCAATCAATAATTTAAATAAAACAAATAAATGAGCAATTCGAATAAAATGAATAGTTCTAATAGTTCTAATAAAACGAATAAACGAATAGTTTGAATAAATGAATAGATGAATAGTTCGAATAAACGAAATAATTCGAAATAATTTGAATTAAACAAAACGAATTTCAAATATAATGAAATAAAGTGAATAATGAAATAATTCGAATAAACAAAATAATTCAAATAGTTCAAATAAATGAATAATTCGAGTATTTCAAAAAAAAAAAACAAATAAACAAGTAGTTTAAATAAAACGAATAAACGAAATAAAATGAATAGTTCAATAATCATAAACGAATAAACATATTGTTCGAAATAAAATGAATAATTCAATTCAAACAAACGAATAATTCAAACAAATAAACGAAATAATTTGAATAATAATAATTCAAAATGAATAATTCGAATAAACGAATGATATCAATTCGAAATAAAACGAATGATATGATAACAATTCGAAATAAAACGAATGATATCAATTCGAAACAAAATGAATAATTTGAAATAAAACAAATGATGATAACAATTCAAAATAAAACGAATAATAAACGAATGATATCAATTCGAAATAAAACAATAATTCGAAATAAAACGAATAGTTTGAATAAATGAATGATATTGATTTGAATAAACGAATGATTCAAATAAATGAATAATAACAATTCGAATAATAAACGAACGATAACAATTCGAATAAACGAATGATGATAATTTGAATAATAAACGAATGATAACAATTTGAATAAACGAACGATTTGGATAATTCGAATAATAACGAATGATAACAATTTGAATAAATGAATGATACAATTCGAATAAACGAATGATTTGGGTAATTTCGAACAAAAATTTGTATTACGAATAGAAACTTTACTCTATTGGAGAGTCACCAAATAATGTTCAAACTAAACTAAAAACACCATATACAACATACAACTACATTACTTGAGGCGTCCCTACAAGCAATATAGTAAAACTAATAAAAGGGGTTCTTAACTAATAATTAAATGTTGGTCAATCAAACATGCCAGATTTATTAATTAATGAAAGTGAACGATCAATTATTTTTTAATTTTTTTTTCACTGAAGGAGATTTCAAGCATATTTATACTTCTTGAAGTATTACAAATAACATGACCTTTTACATGAATTTGTCGTATAAAATAGAATAAAATAGAATGATTAATTGATAATTACTAAAAGTTAAATGTCAAAAATGAGTCATTGATGATGCCATGATTAAATGATGCCTGATGAAATGTTTTTGTCATAATTAATTAAAAATAAAATTTATATTCATTGAAATGTCGGATGGTAGTCAGCATCAATTTGTAACAAGAGTTGATGATAATTTGTCTTCCTTGAAAATATTATTAGACAGAAAAATATGGCAACCCGCATCATGTATTATTTTTTACTTTTTATTTATTTATTATATATATGTTAATATTAATCATGTATAAATAATGACAATTTTGAGAGAAATAAAAAAATAAAAAAATAATATATATAAATACAACATTCCATTTTAACTGATAAAAACATAATATAAACTATCAAAGATCTAAAGTAAGAACAAATTGGATCATTTAAAACTACTTTATTCATTGAAATTGGTTGATCTTCTTATCAAAGAAAACGTGACTTTTATCTAGATATCTTGTGCAACGATTATTATTACAATTCGGAAAAATAGACGATAGTCTAATTGAACTAAAAATACAAAATGACATCAATGTCAACAAAAACAACAAAAACAACAAAAACAACAAAAACAACAAAAACAACAAAAACAACAGTAATAATAATGATATGATTCAAGGAATATCTAAATTATATACAAATGTGAATATTCATATGTAGTATAATTATATTAAAAGGACATTCCATTAAAGATAACAATAATTGTACTATAATATTTTTTCTTTCTTCAAGTTCTCTATCCAGGTTTCCTAACCAAAATTTTTCTTTGGTCCATTTTCTTCTATTGGTCTCCAACCCAAATATCCCAATCTTATTTTTTTTTTTTGATTTAGGCTTGTTTGTGTAATCAGTTTCTGCTATAAGTCTATTCCAAATGTTTCTCATACAAAATACAAAATTCAAAGTGAGCTGATTATTATGTGTATTTGTATTTAATTGCATTGTTACTTCATGATAAACCTTTTCCAATTCAGAAAACCATAATGTTGTTCTTCATCAACTTCAATTTTCCTCTCATGAACATCAAGCAGTTGAAAAAGGGGCTGGTTTTGTAATATATAGTTGTTTTTCAATCCATGTTTTCTGGTGCTGATGCTGTTATTGCATTTAAAAGTTGGTTTGAGATTAAAAATTTGGGGTAAAAACCCTTCGAAAAATGGTTTTAAAGTTGTTATATTGTTTGATTTCTTTAATAAATTCAAATAGATCAATTCAAATGGAATATTACTCTGACAAAATTCATTGTAAGTAGGTATGATCAAATTGAATGTACAGCTGGTTATTCTTTCTGGTATTGATCTTTCAGGATGGAGTAACAACTCTCTATCAATCCATACCTTTGATATAATCATATCATTGAAGCATAATCTTGTGATTAATGAATCTGGATTGAATTTTTTTAACACCCATCTATAAAAATGTCCACTTAATCTCAATGATCTTATATTGTTAATTGACTTTTCAATATTTGAATTTATAAATTTACAAGTATCAACCTGTTAATATAATACTTTG